TTTTTCTTTTGTAAAATTAGTTTTTAGTGTAATAGAAATAATAATAATAATGTAAAAAATTGAAAATAAAAGAAATAATTTTCGCATTGTTCATTTTAGGAAAAAAACATGTTTGAAAGATGTAAAAAAATTGCTCATATATAATTAATAATTTTATATATAATTATATATAAGTAATTATATATAAGTAATTATATATAAGTAATTTTTTTACATTTCTTCAAACTTGATTTTTCCTAAAACAAACTGCGAAAATTACCTTTTTAATTATTTTTACTGTTTTCACATTATTATTATTTTCTATTACATTAAAAAGTAATTTTACAAAAGAAAGAGGGATGCATGAATATATATGGACATATTTTATATGTATATGATTATACACGTTCATAAATATTTATGTATGTTTATATATATACATATATTCATGCATGAAAAATTTTTTACCGGGATGTGTATAGTGTTCAAAAATGAATTAGAATAAGAGAAAATATATATGGATCAGATCCACAACAGTCGTAAAAGTTAACGACTCATTGTGACAGCTTTTGATATACATGGAATATGCAATCGAAATTTATGTTGAAAAGAGCGCATATATCTATGTATTATTAGGTGTGGGAAAAAGTTCGTGGCGTTTTTTAATGCCATCTAATGGGAAAAACGCCACGAACTTTTTCCTACACCTAATATTTTCTGAAAGTAGGACGGTTTCTCGCTTATACGTACCTACTTCCATATCTCTACTCGTGACTCTCTCGTGACTCACTTCCTCTTTCACTTATTTCATCCGAATCTGCACGACGCTCAGTGCCGTCTTTGAAACGGCGCAAAAAGCGCTGAAGCCTTTTGCTTTGAATTTGTTACATACTTTCTGTACAACAATATTGCTTTATATGAAATAAAAGGCTAAGAAGCTATAGAGTTGCCAATGGTTTTGATCTAGATTATAGAATTTTTAGGAGTTTTGTCCGGTGTCTGCAATTGACAAGTCAAGTTGCATGTCCAGTTTTTAAATATATCTAATTAGTAAAACAAAATTATTATATGAAATTTACAATGAACAGAATTCGCGATTTTGACGTTTCTCCATCTTAAGCGCTCATTATCATGCTACAGTCAGTATTGAAAATTTTATTTTTTGATAAAATTTTATTATTTTTATTACTTATAGTGTAATATTTTCTTATATGTGTTCAAAAATATTTTTGCTTTAACAAATGTTAAACGATTTTTATTTTAACATGTTTTATGTATAAAAAAAATGTTTATAACGAATGTTAAATATCATATGTGTAAAACATAGTTCAATTTTGTGTTTAATAATAACATGTATTTTAGATTAATGTATTTTAGATTAAATAATAATAATTTATTTTATTTGAAATTAAATTTTGATTTTTGAATTATTTGCAAAATAATATCGCATAAAATAATTTTGTATTAAATATAAAATTTAGTAAAAAATTATTTTACGATATTATTTACATATTTCTAGTTTTGTCCGATTAAATTTTGATTTCAAAGAGAAAATATCTGAGATTTTAAACTTTTACCTTGTTTTACGATGTTGAAACGATGTTTTTAAAATTAATTTAGTATCTCTGATCTTAAAGAATAAAAGACTCGTGTAAACAAAAAACTCGTGTGTTTGAATTTCAATTTATTTTCGAGTTGTCTTAAATAAATGATAAATATCTATTCCTGTTTTGTTCAATTTAATATTATAATTATTGCATATCGTTTTACATGTAAAATCTCGAAATGAGATTGAAATAATATCAATATAATATTTTTAATTCATTGAAAACCCTCATCAATTTAACATTAATTTGACATCAATTTGATGAATCATTTTTTATTGATAGAGAGAAAGAAAAAAATGATTAATCACAACAGACTTAATTATTGTTCAAATGCAATTGGTCGCTTCTCTCTCCGAGATTTCG